CTCCTTGTTGGAGATTTGAAGAAGAGGAGCAAACCAGTGTTGGCGTGGCCACCAGGGGGTGATCAGGATGCAATCTGTGTTGTCCTGAATTATCTTGGCTATGACTGGGGATAGGAGAGGGAGGGGTGGAAAGAGGTAGAGGAGACCCGGAGACCATAGGAACAGGAAGGCGTCTCCTAGACAACCTGGGGATGCGTGAGGGCGGAGCCTTGCGCAGTAGAGAGGGCAGTGCGTGTTTACAGGGGACGCGAACAGGTCTATCCTGGGGGTGCCCCACTTGTGAGTGAGTGCCTTGAATTGTGTGGGATGTAATTGCCACTCGTGATTGTTTTTGGAGGACCTGCTCAAGGAGTCCGCCAGTGTGTTGTCTTGGCCTGGTAGGTGGATGGCTGTGAGGAGGATGTTCCTCTGGATGCACCATTCCCAAATTCGTGTTGATATGGACAGTAGAGTTTGAGAGCGTGTTCCTCCTTGTTTGTTGAGATAATATTTGACTGCGGTATTGTCTGTCACAATCTGGACCTTGCGGTTCGAGACAATGCGGACAAAGGCTCTGAGGGCCTTCTCTACCGCCATCATCTCGAGTGCGTTGATGTGGAATTTGCGGTCCCGAGGGGACCAATGGCCGCTTACTTTGAACCCTTTGAGATGCGCTCCCCAACCCGAGTTGGAGGCGTCTGTCGTGAGGGACATGGATGGGTGAGGTTGGGTGAAAGGCATCCCTGATTGAACATTGCACTGCTTTGTCCACCATGAGAGGGAGTGGAGGACGGAGTGAGGTGGGTATAGGATGCGGGATTGAGGTTCCCGCAGGGGGTCGAATGATTTGATGAACCATCTTTGTAGTGGCCGCATTTTTAGGCGGGCAAATGGGGTTACACTTGTGGTAGACGACATGTGTCCAAGGATAGACTGGATAGCCCAGGCCGAAGTTCTGCGGGAGTGTTGGAGGCTTAGGATTGCTCGTCGAAGATTGATGAAGTGGTCGTCCGGGAGGAAGGCCTTCTGGAGAGAGGAGTCTATGACGGCTCCTATGAACTGGATTCGTTGAGTCGGAGTGAGATGGGATTTTTCTTGGTTTACTACCAGACCCAAGTCCTGTAAGAGAGACAAGGTGTAATGAATGTCGTTGTACAGTTGCGTTTTTGAAGGAGAACAAAATAACCAGTCATCCAGGTACTGAAAAACCACGATGTTTTGCTGGCGGAGGTGTGCCGCTATGACTGACATGCATTTTGTGAATACCCTGGGTGCGGTGGATAAACCAAACGGGAGAGAAGTGAACGAGAAGTGGTTGTTGTGCACTGCAAAGGTTAGGAATCTGCGATGAGATTCTCTAATTGAGATGTGGAAGTAGGTGTCCCGCAGGTCCACCGTCGCTAGCCACGCTCCCGGTGGAATGAAGGGTAGGATGTTAGGAAGTGTAACCATGCGGAACTTGCGTGGTGTGATGAAGGTGTTAAGCCTGCGAAGGTCCAGGATGGGGCGTAGCCCTCCATCTCTCTTGTCTACTAAGAAATATCGAGAAAAGAAGCAGGTGTTAGCATTGTGTGTGGGGTTAGAAGAAATGGTGCCCTTTTGAAGGAGAGAATGTATTTCTTCCCAGATCTCTTGGGAGGGTTGTGTGAGGAGAACCCTCCCAACGGGTGGATAGGTGTCAAATTCTATTGCATAACCCCTTTCAACTATGTCAAGGACCCAGGCATCTGTAGTGATAGATTGCCATGCCGGAAGAAAAGACTGTAGTCTGTTGAGGTATGTAAGTGATAATGTATGTGTGGAAGTGTGGTTGACAGTGGTTAGTGGTGTGCTAAAAACAACGTTTAGAGTTGTTGGAGGGCCTGGAGCCACGGTACTGACCTCTGAAGGGGAGTTGGGGACGTCTCGGGGTCGTAGACTGGGTGTAAGATCTTTGGCGTCCTCTGTAGAAGGAGGTATTATAAGGCCTGTTGTAGTAGTGAGGACGGTAGTAGTATGAGCCCCATCGTTGACGTTGATGAGAGTAAGGTTGTTGGTCATATTTGAAGACCGTCTGTTTCATTTTATGGGAATGTTCAAGTTGTGAATCAGTTTCAGGGTTGAACAGTCCTGCCTCGTCCATAGGAAGGTTTTCAATGAGAGTGCGTTGTGATTGAGAGAGGATAACAGCCCTCAGCCAGGCATGGCGGCGAAGGGCCACGGAGCCTGCAATGAGTTTGCCAGAAGCATCGGCTGTGTTTCTTGCAAGGTCCTTTTGCAATGATGACAGAAGGAGAGCCTCTTGCTTAAAGGCCAGAGCCAGTGGCTGGTCAGCTGGAGGCAGTAATTCTAAATAGGAAGATATTTTGTTCCATAGGAAGGTTTGGTATACACTCATGTAAACCCCATAATGAGCCATGCGTGCAAATAGGCATGCTGAGGAATAAAACTTTTTGGCCATAGAGTTAAGTTTCCTTCCCTCTTTGTCAGAGGGGGAAGTCTGGTTTGATTGGACAGGTTTTGGTTGAGCATCAGTTACTATAGAATTTGCTTTAGGCATTTTAGATAGCCACGAAGCTGAAGATAGATCAATACGGTATAAATTTTCTGCCCTCTTGGGGGTTGCCGGGATCATAGCCGGGGCAACACCAGTGTTTTTTAAGATCTTTAGTAGAAAGGGTAAGGTGGGCAACACAGTGGAAGCAGGTTGTTGTTGTTCAGTAGAAGTAAAACATGGATCTACCACAGTATCTGTGGGTTCAGGTGTAGAGAGATTCAGGGATCTGGAGAGCCTTATGAGCAAAGCAGAGAACTTTTTGAATTCTTCCAGATTTTTGGGGGAAGGGTCAGGGTCTGGAAGGGGTTCGTGTATGAGTGGGGTGTCATCAGCGGATTCTAGGTCCACTGTCTCGGCTTCTTGGTGAGGTTGAGTGAGGGGGTCTTGAAATGGTTGAGGAGGATCTGATTCAATGTGTTCTTCTGGAGGGTGAGAGAGTGTAGCTGTAGGGGGTGCATGTGGAGGTTGTAGGTATCCAAACTGGTGTGGATAATGGGTGCTGTAGTCCCTAGTGTGGGTGGGGGGAGGAGGATAGTAGAAAGGGTACATAGGGTAAGGAGGAGGGGGAGGGTATAAATGATAAGGATAGTCTTGTGGGGCATATGGGTGATGTTGTTCAGGAGGGTAAGTTCTAGTCCTCTTGGGGGGGTGGGGGTTAGGAGAGGGTTGAGGGGAAGGGGAGAGAGAGCGCTGGCGGCGGCGCGGAGCCCACGCCGTGGAAGTTTGTTGTTCCGAGGGAGGAGTCTCTCTCGGTACCGGCGAGTCTGGTGGGCTGGGGGAAGGGGGAGGTGAAGACTGGGAGGGTGGGAGGGGCGGAGGAGAAAGCTCCGCAGTTTGCTGAGCTTGCAGCGGATCCAGCAGCTCCAGAGGAGGAAGGGAAGAGGGATCTTCCAAGTGGAGCATGGAAGGGAGGGGATCTTGGAGCTGGAGGACGGGACCGGAGAGGTGAGGCATCGGTTCCAGCATAGGGGGACTCAAGGGCTGCTCGCCAGTGAGTTGCCGTCCCTTCTTTTGTTTTGAAGATTTTTCTTTCGGTTTTGTTGCCCTCATGGATTGTTTTGAGGGCTTAGATTTTTTCTTAGGCGGCTCCGCTGAGGAAGCATTTGCCTGGCTCAATTCTCGCCTATCTCCAGCATGTGGAGAGGGAGGCAGAGTGAGCTCTTGGGTTGGGGAGGAATGGGAGGGAGGAGGGAGCGTCTGTGGAGCCAAGGCGCGCTCGTAAAGTAGCGCTTTTAAGCGGGCATCTCTGCCTTTTCGGGCTCTAGTGGTAAAGCTCAGGCAGATTTCACATGATTGAAGATTGTGAGCCTCTCCCAAACATAATAAGCATTTGGAGTGTTTATCAGCCTCGGGTAAGGTAGCCCCGCAGGCTGAGCAATTTTTAAAATACGGAGAAGACATGCTAGCCTGAGTTTTAGAAGGGTAGTCAGCCGGTCCGAGTCGGGGGTGGAGAAGACGGAGTTAGAGAGAAGCAGTCCTAGTCAAAAGCCGGTAGAGTGGAAAGAGCGAGCGAATGTTCCAAGATGCTGCCGGATTAGCGCGGAAAAAGGAACTAGAGTGCGCCCGCACGCGGCGGGATATATATACCGAGGGGGCGGGGTAGAAGACGAAGTTAGAGAGAAGCAGTCCTAGTCAAAAGCCGGTAGAGTGGAAAGAGCGAGCGAATGTTCCAAGATGCTGCCGGATTAGCGCGGAAAAAGGAACTAGAGTGCGCCCGCACGCGGCGGGATATATATACCGAGGGGGCGGGGTGGGGGGTGGGTGGGCGGAGCTTCAAAATATTCATTTTTATTTCATTAAACTCAGAATGTTCCGGATTTCTGCGCATGCGCGAGAGGAAACCCATAGGTGTGGATTTCGCAGAGGACACGAAGAATAAACATGGTTATAGAAGGTGATATAGACGTACAAGAAAATAATGATGAAAATGCCTCATTTTTTATAATGGCTGAATAATATCATTCTGTTCACTATGCAGACAAAAAGAACAAATGTTAACAAAAATTCTCCTTTCTTTTAAATGAAATTCAACAGTATGGAAGGGAAGATTTGCCATTAAATAGCATAATAAATAATAAAACATGCTTATTGCTTAATGGAATTACTTCTTTGTGTATTTTGGATTGCAAATTCATGCTAAAAGGTACGAAATCCAAATTTGTTTCTTGAATAACTTCATAATAAGGGCTGAAATATTTTTGAGATATGTGTAAATATGATGTTTGGCATAGAAAGAACATACAACCAAAGAATGCCAGAGGTCATTTCAATTGCTTAGCTCAGCACATTTCCCCTCCAGTTCAAGTGGATTTTGTACTTTTTGGAAACAAACCCCACAATTTCTTTGAAGAAAGGTGGTATTATATATCGGCTCAGAAGAGTCCACTAACATGATGCAATCACACTTGAGTATAGACCTCTATAGGTGAGAGGCTTGCAATTGTCGTAGTTTTGAGTATAGTCACTTAATAATTAAATATTTTACCTCCAGGTTTGCCAGCCTTTTGCTTCTCTACTTGTCGTCGAGTGATGCTCTCTCGCAATCTTTGTAGGTTTTCCTAGAAACACAAACATATTTTTTAAACAGTGAGCAAATATATAACCATTCACAAGGCCCTTACAAAATTGTAAATATCTAACTAAATCCAAATTATCACCAGCTGATTGCCAATCTACAGTTCAACCAACTCTCCTGCTAGAAATGACAGGAGATGGGCAACATGTAGAGAAACAAAAAAAACATTAAGTGTAAACTCCCTTCTTTAAGAACCAGTTCAAGATATTGCAGTTAAAGCTGAGTAAAGGCTTTACTAATATTATGAACCACAGCACTTCCAGACAGGGCTTAAACCCATGATTAAACGGGTTTAAGAAACCTGCATCGTTGTGGGTTTAAGTCCCCATGCCCTTCCCAAAAACCTAGGCTTTCCCGGGGAGTGTTCCCATGCCCTCCCAGTATCGGCCTTGATATTCTGGATTATATGACTGTGTGGAAAGGCCCTTTGTTTTGCCATTGTAAGCATCTTCAGAAACACACACCTGCTGGAAGCGAAATGATTCTGATCTCCTTTTCTGGTTTAATTGCCATTCCTTGAAACACAAAACAGCTTCATCCACAGTAAGAATTCCCAGCTTCACTTGCTCCTGTAAAGTTATTAAATGCCTTTGGCCAGGGGTTTTCATCCCAGCAAATGGATCATATATACTGCTCGAAGATGACTGGTTAGAGGCTGTATTATGTACGACCTCTGTGAAGGGGATAAAGCAAGATAAGAAAATCATTTTTTTTTAATGTACACTTCTGGGCATATCATGTGATTTAAATGGCTTAACCAAATGCGTCTTACCAAGAACTGTTGCTGTGCAGTGGACCATCTGTAATTGTCCTAAGCAAAAGTGACCAATGCGGTAAAGGTTCATGTCACCAAAAGTGCATCTATGGCCCCATCTACACTGCCATATAATCCAGTTTCTGAATGCAGATTAACTGCATTGAACTGGATTATATAGCAGTGGTGGCCCAGCCTATATTGTAGAATTAATGCAGTTTGACACCACTTTAATTGCCATGGCTCAACGTTATGGAATCCCGGAGTTTGTATTTGGGGAGGCACCAGCAGTATTTGGCAGAGGGGGCTAAAGACTTCATAAAACTACAACGTTCTTCATTTTGAAGTATTCGTTGTCATTTGTAAAGACTGACAATAATACTTTTTTTGTATGAAATCAACATGATAAGGTATTACAATTTCTCCGACAAAAAAGACTTACCTTAGGATATATATTAACATATTCTTGAGACATTAATTTTAAGTTCTAAACAATGTTATGACGTGTCATTTATTTTCTTTTCATTGTATTCATGGTAGTCATGTGATTAACTATTTTTACCATTCACATATTTCCACTGCCAGCCAATTTCTCACATTGATTTCACAATCGTAATATGCCTATCTCAACACGAAGAATGGAAGTCACAAGCCATAATCAGTAGAAAGAGGGAGAGAGGGAAGGAGGGAAAAAGAGGGAGGAAGGAAAGACAAAAAGGAAGAAAAAGGATGGAAGACAGGGAGGGAGGAGTGGAGAGGGAGGAGAGGGGGGAGGAAAAAACAACTCAGGAATAGAAAAAAGGGAGGTGAGAAAAAAAGAAGAAGAAAAAGAAAAAAAAAGAAAAAGAAGAAAGGGAAAAGAAGAAGGAAAAGAGGAGGAAGAAGGAAGAGAAGAAGCAAGAGGAAGAGAAGAAAGAGGAAAAGCGGTGGACGAGGAGGGAGGGGGGCGGGTACGGAAAAAAGAGATGAAAAAGGGAAAAATAGAGAGAAGAGGGGGAAGAGGCTGAGGAGGAAGAAGAAGATGTTTTAAGATCTAGGATTAGTTTTCAGCTAGATGGCAACAAATAATTTATATACACAAAAAGGAATAAAATAAAAATGAGTAAAACAAGAAACAAAACTAGCAATTACAAAACTAAATTAAAATCCCTAGGCTACATATTAGAAATTGTTTAAGGGTCTTTCTACACTTACCTAAATCCTGAGAGGAAGCGGGTTAAAATAACCCGCTTCCTCCCAGGTTTCAGCCCCCACCCCTTCCCACAACCCGGGGGAGTGGCTGGATGTCATCCTGGATCAACCAAAGGCATCCAGCCACTCTCCATCCCCTTGTTTCCCCCACCAAAAAAACTTACCCAAGGGGCCTGCCAGCAGCACAGGCCCCTCTGCACAGTACTTCTCAGGCTTGAAAATGATGCATCAGGAGGTGGAAGGGGGAGAGGAGAGAAATCGCCACCATCACCACCACCACCTCCTGACATATCATTTTCAAGCATTAGGAGTACTCTATGGAGGGAGCTGTGTTGCCAGAAGGCCCCTCCTTTTTTTTTTAAATGGGGGGCTGGGGGAATGGATGGGTGCCCTCCCACTCCTGTGGGCTCCAGGAGATCTTTACGATCCTTTTTGGTTTCCACAATTTTACATTAATTAGCCATAGCCATCTCACTCCTCACTCCAACAGAAGATCCTTTAAAACTACCAGCCTGAGTATAAATTCTTGAGGAGGTCTACTGCTCCCAGCTTTCCACAGTGAGAACTTAATTTCTACTTTCTGATTTGTCTTCTTTGGCCAGTTTTCACTCCATAAGATAACTTCTCCTCTTATCACTAAATTGCCATTTGCTATGGAATCGTTGCTGTAGAACTTTATAGAAGACCTTTTGGAAGTCCAAGTAAACAATATCTAACAGATGCTAGAGCAGTGCTTCTCAACCTGGGATCCCCAGATGTTTTTGGCTTTCAACTCCCAGAAATCCTAACAGCTGGTAAACTGGCTGGGATTTCTGGGAGTTGTAGGCCAAGAACATCTGGGGACCCCAGGTTGAGAAGCACTGTGCTAGAGGGATCACCAAGATTTTGTTTTTGCAGAAAAGCAGTCAAATGCTTCTAGCTCAGCAGTCACCTTTATAAATATATGATTGCTTGTCCTGTTGTTTCAAGGAGGGATCGGGTCTTGGGACAGGAACAGGTGGTCTGTTAACCAGCTCTTGAGGGTAATTGTCCTGCTCCACAGTGTGGTAAACTTCTTCATCTTCACATTTATGATATATATCCTCCTTTGGCTCTGGCACATCGACACTAACACCTAGAGAAGAGATTATATTTAGAAGAAAAGTCACACGTAATTAGGCCATCTGTTAATTTCATTTTTACAGCACTAAAAATTAGGTTGAATTTTTAAGAATATATGACTATGTGGAACTCTGAAGTTGTATTTACTTAAATGTGGTTACAGTTCCAGACCTTCTCTAGCAATACATTGAGGGTTGGAATGAAGAGGCAGGGACAGGGTGTATGTTTCCTTGGACCCCTTCTTTGAACTGGAATATATGGTAGTGTGCACTCGGGACCCTTCCAAACAGCCATATAACCCAGAATATCTGCTTTAAACTAGATTATATGAGTTTTCACTGCCAGGTAATGTGGGATAAGCAAATAGTCTACTATCAGATCCTGAGATATATAGAGCAGTGCGGAAGAGACCTTATTTTGACTGGTTACTTTGAAATAGTTCAATATCAGATTCACACTAAACTACTCATCATACTGCTCTCTTTTTTTCAACACCGAAGCATAAATGTAAAGAGGAAAGTGGGCATATCTTTATGTATTACAGTCATGATACACATTATGAAAGAGAAACAGCCATGTCTCTTTGCTTCTGGGAAATATCAGAAGAGATAATATTAGTAGCCCAATGTGTGATTGTCCTATCAATTGCATAGTCTCACCTTCTAAGAACTTGCGCATCATGTAGTCCTTTGTTGTCTGTGGAAAGGGGTTACTAGCTTCTGTCTGAAGCATTTCTACATCTGGAAAAAAGGCACACATACATAATTCACTGACTTTTTCTTTCATCATTTTCTAATACAATAGGGCAAGGCACCTCATATTACAGCAGTCACATGGAAGGCCATTGGAAAATGTCTTGTAAGTGGTATTATTATACCAATTATACCAAATTGGGAGGGATAGTCAGTACTCCAGAAGACAGGAGCAGAATTCAAAACGATCTTAACAGATTAGAGAGATGGGCCAGAATTAACAAAATGAAGTTCAGCAGGGACAAATGCAAGATACTCCACTTTGGCAGGAAAAACAAAATGCAAAGATAGGTTTCGGCGGTAACCAGGGGAGCATTTGCACAGCTAAAGCTTGTGCGCCAGCTGCGCCCGTACCTTGGGAAGTCTGACTTGGCCACGGTAGTCCACGCTCTGGTTACATCCCGTTTAGACTACTGCAACGCTCTCTACGTGGGGTTGCCTTTGAAGACAGCTCGGAAGCTCCAACTAGTCCAACGCTCGGCAGCCATGATTTTAACAGGCGCGGAGCGCAGGGAGCATACAACCCCCCTGTTGCGCCAACTCCACTGGCTACCGATCTGCTACCGGGCTGAATTCAAAGTGCTGGCGTTGGCCTTTAAAGCCCTAAACGGTTCTGGCCCAAGCTACCTATCTGACCGCATCTCTGCCTATGAACCCACCAGGACTTTGAGATCTTCCGGGGAGACCCTGCTCTCGATCCCGCCTGCTTCTCAAGCTCGGCTGGCGGGGACGAGAGATAGGGCCTTCTCTGTGGTGGCTCCTCGGCTGTGGAACGCCCTTCCTACGGACATTAGACTAGCACCATCTCTAATGGTATTCCGCAAAAAGGTGAAGACCTGGATGTTTGTGCAGGCGTTTGAGTAATTTAGTGCAATCTGGTAATGGAACATAGGAATGGAACAATGGACGACGAATCTGGACTACGCTTGGATGATGAGAAGATTGGGTACGGTTGTTTTTCGTAATAATTGTGCATTGTAATTGCTTATTGGTAATTTATGGATAATGTGTTAAGTCAATTGTTATATGTTGCATGGAACCACTGCTGTTTCTACTGTTTTTACTGTTTGTGAACCGCTGTGAGTCGCCTTCGGGCTTGAGATACAGCAATATATAAGCAAAGTAAATAAATAAATAAATAAATAAATAAATAAATAAATAAGATACAGAATGGGGGACGATGCCTGGCTCGAGAGCAGTACGTGTGAAAAAGATCTTGGCTCCTCGTGGACAACACGTTAAACATGAGCCAGGAATGTGATGTGGCGGCAAAAAAAGCCAATGGGATTTTGGCCTGCATCAATAGGAGCCTAGTGTATAGATCTAGGGAAGTCATGCTACCCCTCTATTCTGCTTGGTTAGATCACACCTGGAATACTGTGTCCAATTCTGGGCAGCACAGGTCTCTTCCAACTCTATGATTCTATGATTACATGCATACAGTGTAGCACCTGAATGCATCTCTGTTCCAAGTCTGGAACAATCCAACTTCAAAAAGAAATCTGTCCCAGCATTTCTTGGCAGCCACTGGCCTTTGTAAGTCTCTATTGTTCCCTGTAAAAATGTCAAGGAGCCCGACATGATGGGTGAAATATCCTTGGCACGATGCCTTCTGAATAACTAAGAAATAATTTTTCAACAAAGTAAGGAAATATATGAAGGTTTGCATTATCAGGACTATGAAGTCATTTTTACATCAAAAATAAAAAATCAGGCGCCTTCTATACTGCCATATAATTATCAAAGCAGATAATCCACACTATCTGCTTTGAACTGGATTATATGAGTCTATACTGACATATAAACCAGTTCAAAGCAGATAATCTAGGTTTTATATGGCAGTGTAGAAGGGGTCTCAAATGATCCTTTGAGAAAAGTGCTGGGCTAGGAGCACCCTTGGCCCTGAGATTTTGGGGCCAAAGACTGAGACCTAACAATGCCCTTGCTGCCGTCACTAAATAAAATTCAGTAAGCATTACAAAAATCGAGTTTTCACAGTTCTGTTTATTGCACCATACTTTTTCCTTCAACAGTAATTCTGAAATATGGTGGCAACTGGGCTAAGCAGTGCACCGAACAATCTTTTTTGAATTCAGTATACTCAGTAGAATGCCTCCCCTCACGTTGGCCCCTTCTAGACTGCCAGATTTTCAAAGCAGATAACTCACATTATCTACTTTGAACTGGATCATATGAGTCTACACTGCCATATAGTTCAAAGCAGATAATCTGGATTTTATATGGCAGTGAAGAATGGGCCTGAGGCCCATAGGCCCCTGACATCTAGGAAAGGAGCAGTCTCTCTCCTACAAAAGCAGAAGAGAGCCATTTACAAATCAAATGTCAATTTATTGGCATTTTGACTTGCCAAAATGTATTCTAACAAAGGTCCCTTCCACACTGCCCCTATATCCCAGCATCTGATCCTAGATTATCTTATCTCAGATTAACTGACAGTGGGGACTCAGGCCCCTTCTACACTGCCATATAATCCAGATTATCGAAACAGATAATCCATATTATCTACTTTGAACTGGATTGTTGTTTGGGCTTGGCCTCATGTAAGCTGCCCCGAGTCCCCATTGGGGAGATGGTAGCGGGGTATAAATAAAGATTATTATTATTATTATTATTATTATTATTAATCTGAGTCTTCATTGCCATAAAATTCAGTTCAAAGCAGATAATCTGGATTTTACATGGCAATGTAGAAGGGACCTCATATAATCCAGTTCAATGCAGATGATCTGGGTCAGATCCTATGATATAGGGCTGTATAGAAGGGGCCAAAGCAATTGGTTACATGAGTGACAAAGTTGACAGGGGGAGGCATTTTAGATGTGTGCTCATTGTATTCATAATGTATTTTAGCATAGCATATATGTGGAATGCAAAAGCAATGCTATATACATACACAAATCTTCTGTGGCACTGGGAACCAGGCCAGCCATGGATTCATAGAGCTCCTCATCACAACCAGGATTCAGGGAACATTTCATTAGCAGATCTGTGGAGAGGTGAGCCATGGACTCATAAACAGAGTCACCTTCCTTGCCCTGCATCAGCTCTTCTTTTATGTGACTTTTCAGCATGTCTGCAGTCTCCTACAAGAAAAGGGAAAGCAACAGATCCTTCTTTGAGGCAGCGGAGACTGTCCATGAATCCGATTAAAAGTGTGCCCACCCAAGTGAGTTCGAAGTAAACATTTTCTAAATTTATACTTCACACAATTATCCCTATAAATCTTGAATTCAGATGCAATCCACAGTATTCTTCCCAGGGTTCACCTACTCCAAACTGGGCTTCAGTTGTACTAATAGGCCCCCTTCCACATATCCCACATTTTCTGCTTTGAACTGGAATATATGGCAGTCACCAGCCAATCCCTCTCCAATGCCAGAAATACAGCTTAATGATGTAACATTAGAAAATGTTGATCATTTCCGCTACCTTGGCAGCCACCTCTCCACAAAAGTCAACATTGACACTGAAATACAACACTGCCTGAGCTCTGCAGAGTGCAGCATTTTTCCAAATGAAGCAGAGAGTGTTTGAGGACCGGGACATCCGTAGGGATACCAAGGTGCTTGTTTATAAAGCTATTGTCCTCCCAACCCTGCTATATGCCTGTGAAACGTGGTCTACAGACGTCACATGCAACTCCTGGAACGATTCCATCAGCGCTGCCTCCGGAAAATCCTGCAAATCTCTTGGGAAGACGAGCGTGCTGGAAGAAGCAAAGACCACGAGCATTGAAGCAATGGTCCTCCGCCATCAACTCCGCTGGACCACATTGTCCGGATGCCCGACCACTGTCTCCCAAAGCAGTTGCTCTACTCCGAACTCAAGAATGGAAAAAGAATGTTGGGGAAGGAAAAGAGATTTAAAGATGAGATTAAAAAAAACTCTGGCATAGACACTGAGAACTGGGAAGCCCTGGCCCTTGAGCGCTCCAGTGAGGTCAGCTGTGACCAGCAGTGCTGTAGAATTTGAAGAGGCACGAATAGAGGGTGAAAGAGAGAAACGTACCAAGAGGAAGGCGCCTCAAGCCAACCCCGGCTGGGACCGCCTTCCACCTGGAAACCAATGCCCTCACTGCGGAGAAGATGCAGATCAAGAATAGGGCTCCACAGTCACCTACGGACCCACCACCAGTACACTCATCCTGGAAGGAAGGGATTTAATTTATTTATTTATTTATTTTATTTATTTAATACACTTGTATACCGCTAATATCTCAGCCTGGATCGGCGAATCATTGCGGTTTACAACAATTAAAAACAATCTCCAATTTAAAACATATACGCATACAATAACAAATTACAAATTATTGGGCCACCAATAATAATCCCATATCTCGAGTTGAAATCATAATCCAGAATTCGTTGTCCATATTTCCTGTCCTTAGTCACCAAAGTTCGATTGCCACAGATTAGCCGAATGCTTGTTTAAACAACCATGTTTTCAGTCTCTTCCTAAACACCATCAGCGAAGAGGCTGATCGTACCTCTATAGGGAGGGTGTTTCAAAGCCGGGGGGCCACCACAGAGAAGGCCCTGTCTCTCGTTCCCGCCAGCCGCACTTCTGAAGCTGGAGGGATAGAGAGAAGGGACTCTCCAGAAGATCTTAGGGTCCTGGTGGGCTGATAGGCTGAGATACGTTCGGATAGATAAGTTGGGCCAGAACCGTTTAGGGCTTTAAAGGCCAACGCCAGCACTTTGAATTGAGCCCGGTAGCATATCGGCAGCCAGTGGAGCTGGTGCAACAGAGGAGTTGTGTGCTCCCTGTGCCCCGCTCCAGTTAGTACCATGGCTGCCGCCCGTTGGACTAGTTGGAGCTTCCGGGCTGTCTTCAAAGGCAGCCCCACGTAGAGAGCGTTGCAGTAATCAAGGCGGGAAGTAACCAGAGCGTGGACTACCGTGGCCAAGTCAGACTTCCCAAGGTACGGTCGCAGTTGGCGCACAAGTATATGGCAATGTAGACTCAGATAACCCAGTTCAAAGCAGATATTGTGGGATTTTCTGCCTTGATATTCTGGGTTAGTCTGCATTTTGCGTCATCAGTTGATTTTTCAATCCTTATTATTATTATTATTATTATTATTATTATTATTATTATTAGGGCTGCACCTTTATTAAAATTCCCAGCATATATTAACCTCACCACTCATCTTGCACTCTCATGGCTATCTCACCTCCCCCCAAATTTCAGGACCCCTCTTTAGAGGGGGTTGAGAAGGGCGGGGTAGAAGCACCCCAAATAAATAAATAATAAATAAATGAGCCATCTGAAGTCATTCTGGAGATGATTTCTTAAGCTCTATTCTTCAAATAACTATTTTACTGTAAAAATGGCATCCCAATGAACTGAACTTTCACAATAAATATATCTCTATTTTCTGAGAAACGGAATGGCATTCAAATTGTATTAACATTTTCTACAAAAATAAGATTGCATGTACAGTGTAGTAATTGAATCTTTGCTATTATTGTTTCAGTGTGAAGTATCTTTCTGTGCTGTTGAACTTTAGTCACAATATTTTTGCCCCCATCACAATATTCAGCCAAAAGGAAGAGAGGTGGAAACAGTTCCTCTTACCACATATTCATCAATAAATTGCCGGAGATCTTTGAATCCGTGTTTTTCTGCAAGGTTGTTTGGATACCAGCCATGCTTATTGGCAACACTATAGGCTTGTAAGGCTCCTGGGCATGTAAGCAGAAGGGCAGTGAGTTTTTTCAGCCCATATTTTGCTGAAAAATGTAGTAATGTTGGTAACTCTTCATCCCTCTGGCCTGAAGAAATAAAGACAAAGAGTTTACAGGTGGCATCAGATATACCGGCAAGTGTTACAGACAAAATTCAGTGAAAATCTGGAGAATTTCCCAATTTTTCCTATCACAGGATAGAACCAGGTTAATTGGTTTTACCCCAAGTAACCAACCATAAGTCGCTGGATGTCATGTGGACATCTAGGAGTGACTTCTTGTTAGAACTGGGGTATAGGGCCAGTTTAGACAAACTCCAGATTATCTGAATGAAAGTTTCCTTCCCCTGTCTACCCACATGAATTCTAATGGCATCATTTAAGATGCTAATGCTGCTTTTGTGGCTATTTTCTTTAATTTCTCTTTCCCTTTTATGCCTGCAATTGTATGCTGCCTTTTTAAAACATAAAGTTATCTGATTTCATATTGTATTTGTGGAATATTTTTTTAACCGGACTCACTAGTAATGTTTTCTTCCTCGAGTTGGTTGATCCCAAAAAGGTGCAAACCACAGGCTGGAAGGTTCTTTTTCAACGATTCAGTCAGAATTTTGTCCAGAGCTTCTGTGCTGTAAGGTACTATTTTAAATGCCTAAATACAAAAAGAAACTCATCAGAAATATTTAAAACAAACTATATGAATTCAAATATCTATCTATCTCACAAAAGTCCATCACTTTCAACATCTTGAGAATTTCTCAATTGGATTTACTGATTCACACAGGAGAGTAGCAGCTTTGCATTTCTGTGTCAGTGGCTCTTCAACTTCTGACAAATGCGAAAATGATGATTCTCAATATACAGAGTCAATGAGAATATCGTTTTGGGAAATAACATCATAGAAAAATATATAAATATGGGGCGTCTAATGTTGCCTTTTGGGACTTAAAGCCATGTTGTGAGAGAATTATGGCTACACAGCAAATGTTCTTAGGTATTTTCTAGCTCAAGCTATAAGAGAAGTACAATGGATAGATTTCCAGTGGCTCTTTTTAAAAAACTTAGGAAATTACTTGTGTGAAAGATAACTTTGCTTTGGCAACAGTCAGTCATTATTGCATGACTTTTGATGCCCAAACTACAGGTAGCCCCTGTATTTTCCCTGAGTTGTCTCAAAGCATCACAATTCAATAAAGTAGCTAAAGCATTCAAATACACATGAACACACATGCTCCCCAAAGGAGAACACTGAGCATTTAGTCAATTTAGCACAGCGGTTCTCAACCTGGGGGTCGCCTGGCCATTTTGGAGGGGTCATGAGGCTGCCTCCGTTGGCCCCGCCTCAAGGGCACGAGCCAGGTGAGGGCTCCTTCGTGCAAGGCCTAGCCTTGTGCAAAGCCCGCCTCGCTCTCTTGCCATCCGGCTAGGGCACAGGGCAGGCGAGGGGGCCTCCGCACGAGGCCTGGCCTGGCGCGAAGCCTGCCTCGCTCTCTCACCATCCAGCGAGGGGGCATCTGTGCGACGCCTGGCCTGGCGCGAAGCCTGCCTTGCCTGCCTCGCTCTCTCGCCATCCAGCAGGGTGTGGGGCAGGCGAGGGGGCCTCCGTGCCAGCCTTGGCCTGGCGCAAAGCCTGCCTCACCTGCCTCAGAGTCTTGCCATCCTGCCCGCCGCCCCCCCCCCCCCCACACTCTGCTTAAAATGTTTGAGGACCCCTGGTATAAGTGCTGCAAAACCCTGTAAAATGTAGGTAATCCAGCAGCCCCTTAAAAGTGTAAGCGCCCACATTTTCATGTGGGATGTCCAAACGATGCCCCACATAAAAATGAATTAATTCAGGACAAAACAGGAAAACGCTGCTTTGTCCCAAGGTAATTTGTCAGCTGGAAAGATCCAGGTCTTTCAGAAGACCTGTGTCTTTCCAGCTGTGTGTGCTGTGTAGATGGGGATCAAGCCATGCAAATATCGGTGCCCACCTACACAGTTATCTAGGGGTTTCTTTGGCTCCAAGACAGCCCCCACCCTCTCCCAAAAACCCCACAGAAAAGCATTAAAAACAAAATAACTTACCCAGCCACCATTTCCCCTTCTCCGGAGCTCTCCTGGTGTGTAGAAATGACATTCCAGGAGAAGGGAGGAGGAGAAAAATGGCTCCTTCCCCCTTTCTCTTGGTGTGTCATTTCTATATGTCAGGAGAGCTCCAACAGCCAGGGAAATGCTGGCCAGGAAAGTGATTTTCTTTTTCTTTTTCATACTTTTCTGGGGTTTATGTACACACCTCCCACATGAAAAGCACGCACTTTCTGGGGTGTGTGGGACTTCAACTGGGCGCAATCGCGTTTTTAAAACCAGATTGCTCCCGGGTTAAAGGGCTGTGTGGAACCATCCTAAGTTTTTTTTTTTAAGTGCAATGAATCACATAGTGCAGCAATAGGATTTTAACAAAAGTTTGTATCTGTGGTGCTGGGAAAATAAATTCCTGGAATATCTTGAGTTAGTGGTCTTATTTTTTTAATGGAAACTATTGATTTTCCTATTTCTCTTTCTCATGCAGACTTAGGTTTATCCTGCCAAAACCAAAAAGGGACTGCATCACTTTCTGAACATTAAAAAAGTCTTGTTGGATCAGACCAAAGCCATATCTAGTCCAGCATTCTGTTCAGATAGTGGCTGACACGATGCTCTGGTAAAGCCAGCAGAAGGGAAATTAATGCCGAAAGCAGCTATCTTTTTCAATCTGTCTCTGGTCCTAGAGAGAATGCAAATCCATTATGCCTAACAGCCCCCGAGAGCATTATTTTCCCCATATTTGTCCTGTTCCTTTTTAACATCATTACATTTGGCAGCTATCACTACATCTTGTGACAGCAAATGCCACTGTTCCTTTATTTGCCTCCTCAGAAGCCACATTTTACCTGACACATGAATTCCACGGGATTTGCAGATGCAGTCAGCAAGTTACCAATTTCCTCCATATCAGTGTAATAGCTGATTCTTGTTTCAACTATCACTAAATCACCAGAAAACAACCGTAGGCATACAGTTCCAGGTGGCAATTCTGGAAGATGAGACAAAGATTAATTACAAACACTTAATCTGAAAGGAAATGCACTATGGTAAAAAGCAATAAAGACCATTTCAATTTCTGGTTGAATATCCTTATGTATATTTTTACACCAAAGAGCAGCTAAATGCATAAAAAACGAAAAGCGGCAATCTCTACACATTTCAATCAGAATGTATTGCTTTTTTAATTGATAGTTTACAGTCTTTGCCCCTGTTTGTAAGCTATTGCCTTACATTTTTTAATTGGCCTATTGCAGGGATGATTTGAATATTAGATCATGGCAAGCATTTACATTTTATTTTAGTTGTAGGCACTGGTAATCCAGGGAATGTGTGTTATCAATATCCTTCTTTTGCCTTTGACTTTATAATGGGAGATCTGACTCCCTCCCCAAAGCTGAACATTGATGCTATTTTATGGAAAGGGCAGTTTTGCATGCTCAAAAGAGTGCATTTCATAAAATCCTGCATGTAGCATATTTTTTTAAAAAACAAGACATTTCTACAAATAATCATCAGAAACCATGTGACCAAAAAGCATAGGAAAAACTGTTTTTAAAAGGTGTCATAAGATTATACATATGACAAGAAATATTGCTTTCACAACTATCGGAATGTGTGATACAAATTTTCAGTGCTTTCAGGGTTCTTTAGCCACAATCACTAAAGAGATTGTAGAAATATAGTGATGTGCTAAGAACCACTGAGTTCAACACTCAGACCTTGCTACTCTGTGGGGAAGGGTGGAAGGAGTCAGCTCTTGGTAGTGGTAGTAGGTGGCTTCCTTGGCAGTAGGGTAGTGAATCTATCTGGATTTCAGTCTGAGAAATCCAAATTGCCAGGCCCAAAATAGGGTCAGCATCGTGGCTTCGGTGGGAAACTGCTGTATGGCTAAACCATAACAGTATAACATTAATACAAGCTGTACTAAAAGATCTGCTTGAAGATGAAAAAAGGTTCATAACATATTCATAAGCAGGATTTATTCCACTGGTGTACTTAGGAAAGTATGGGCACAACTAGACAGCCCCTTAAAGGCACGAGCACTCACGTTTACATGTGGAGTGTCCAAACGACGTCCCAAGTAAAAGCGAATGTATTAATTTGTCTGTGGGAGCTGTGTAGATGGAGAATGGGGATCATGCCACTCGACTTCCGGTGCCCATCTACACAGCTGTCTCGGGTTTCTTGGGCTCCTGGAGGACAAGAATCCCCCAAGACAGTCCCACCCCCCATCCCCAGAACCCCTTTAAAAAGCCCTTAAGAAGAAAATTACTTACCTGGCCACCATTCCCCCTTCTCCGGAACTCTCCTAGCATACAGAAATGATGCGCGAGGACAGCTCCATAGCAGGGGGAACAGTGGTTGGGTAAGTAATTTTCTTTTTTAAAGGCTTTTTAAGAGTTTCTAAGGAAGGGTTGTGAGGGTCTCCCTGTCCTCCAGAAGGTTCCGGGAGGGGATGTGGACCCCACCCCAGAAAAGTACACACTTTATGAGGCATGTGTGCACTTTAATCCAGACATGATAGTGTTTTAAAAACCCAATTGCTCCCGTATTAAAGGGCTGTGAGGAACTGCCCTATATTTAGGGGAATGGCTGTGAGGAACTGCCCAATATTTAGGGGAGTTTTGTTCAAATTTTATTGGAATGAAGAATCTGGAATTACAGAAGCATAGAGTTAGAGAGGGCCACAAGAGTCATTTTGTCCAACCTTTTACGAATGTGGGAACATAAAGGAAAACACTCCTGAGTGACTGCCATCTAGCCTCTTTTTAAAGACTTCGGAAGAAGGAGAATCCACCACTCTCTGTGACCCCTTCTACACAGCCATATAAAATCCAGATTGTGTGCTTTGAACTGGATCATTACTTAATTTATTTATTTGCCATATTTATATCCCGCCCTTGTCAACCCCGAAGGGTAGCACACAGAGGCACAATTCGATGCCATACATTGCATACAATACATATTCAGCAAAGAAAAGCATATACATTAAAACATCTGCTAAAACATATCAACATTAAAATTATTAAAATCACATAATCCAATATCATAGTTCAGGCCGTTCCATTATAATTGCACCATTCCGTGTTCACATATTACACGAATCAATTATCCAAACGCTTGGTCTCACATCCAAGTTTTCAGTTTTTTCCTGAAGGTCAGGAGGGAGGGGGATAATCTGATATCACTTGGGAGGGAGATTCATAGATGAGGGGCCACCACTGAGAAGGTCCTGTCTCTCGTCCCCACCAACCATACCTGTGAAGGAGGTGGGACTGAGAGCAGGTCCTCCCCAGAGATCTTAATCTCCGAGATGGTTTGCAGATTATTTGGTAGTGTATATATAATACTGTTCAAATGATAATCTGGATGATATGGCAGTGTAGGAGGGGCCTGAGCCACTCTATTCCACTGTCATACAACTCTTAAGGTTAAGGAATTCTTCCTATTGTTTAGGGTGGAATCTCATGAATTTCATTCATATGGTTTGCCACTTGCAATGTGAATCCCTTTTATTCAAATTTCATATGCATACTGCATACATACACATTGTCATTTGGATAAAAACCGATGTTAACAACATTGAATACCTTTTTAAAAGACATTTACATTTACATAGTTTTTTACAATGTCATTTGGTGAAAATAAAAGGCAGCTTTGGAGTTTTGTTTGAGAGTGGGGGAAACAGGACGCACAAGCGTACCTCTGCTTCCTGTGGAGGCTGCACACCCCACATCACACCTCTGCCCACCAGGCCTACGGGCCCCCAATTCAGGCATTATTCAGTGCAAAAACAGGAAGTGTAATCTAATCAGACTGTTTTAGCTCAGCATGCTCAAACAATAATCTATTTGTAACTTTATGTAAATTAATTTAATTTTTAGCAGTCGCTGGTTGAAGCCTTAAGAAGAGGAAGTAATTATTTCTTTTGTGTCAGTTACTATTAATTCACCTGTGAAACAAAGAGAAATTTTGCTAATTTTATCTACCAGAGAAATGAAAGTAAAGGGATGATACTTTCTGTACCCACCGGGTGTGCAAACTGAGACCGTGTACTCATTCTCCATCCTGGCCTGTACTCGTACTGGCTGACAGCTGTTAGAGGAAAGTTCCACTTCCATTTTTACTTTGTTGTCCAGCTTACATTTCAAGATGATGTAAACAATTGTCTTCACCTAAGAACAAAGCATCAGATGTTTAAGAGTAGTATCCAGTATTACTGAGCAGACCCCATTTCCCCACAAAGGAGAATGGTCAAATCCTAAGAATGACAGGTACCTGTTCCTCATTGTTGAAAGAGAGAACAATAAGAATACAGCCAATTCGTGCCAAATTACGAGAGGAATGGTTTGTGTGTATAAAATCTTCTGTTGGACTGGGACTGTAATTTTATATTTTTCCTGCTTGTAGTTCTCAATTCACTGGCTCCAAATTTTAGTCACCATGGCCCCTTCCACACAGCTGTACAAAATCTACATTGTACTGGATTATATGGCAGTGTGGACTCTAATAATCCAGTTCAAAGCAGGTATTGTGGATTATCTGCCTTGATACTTAGTGTTTCATTTAACACTAAATCTCTGCCTCGGTTTTTATTGGAAATTGTGACTGCTAAATGCAAATGTCCCACCCAATTCAGGTAAATCCCTGAGCTGATACACATGATGCCCCTCTGAATCAGTCTGCTTGACTCGTCTTCCACAGATTAGAGGTCAGAACCATTATAGTATTTCACAACCTTTCAGGGGATTTTCCACCACACTTTGGTGGCTACTCCGTGGATGGCCTTATTGGCTTCAGCCACTGATAGTATTCTCTTCCAACAGTTCTTTGCTCAGCTGGTTTGGAAATAACATGAACTAGAATGGGCCCATGCCCAGGGGATGAGGCCCCTTGGACTCTTTTTTCAGGCCCTCCTTTCTCTCACCATCCTATCCTTCCTTCCCTCTTTCCTTCCTCCTTCCCTCCCTCCATTACCTCCCTCTTTCTCCCTCCCTCCTTTTCTTCCACCCTTTCATCCTTCCTTCATTCCCTCTTCCCTTTCTCCTTCCCTTCCTTCCATTCTTCTCTGCCTTCCTTTTGTCCTTTCTTCTTTTTTCCTTCCTTCCTTCCTTCCTTCCTTCCTTCCTTCCTTCCTTCCTTCCTTCCTCCTTCCCTGCCTTCCTTCCATCCTGCTCTCCCTCCCTTCCTTCCTTCCTTCTCTTTTTCCTTCCCTTCCCCCCTTCCTCCTTATTTCCCTTCCACCCTTTCTTCCTTCCTGCCTGCCCTCTTTCCTCTCTCCCTTTTTCTCCTTCCTTCTTTCCCTTTTGTCTTTCCTTCCTTCTCTTTCCTCCCCCCCCTCCCTCTTTTCTCCTTCCATCTCCTTTCTTCCTTTCACTTCCTTCCTTCTCTCTTTCCTTCCCTCCTTCCTTCTTCTCCTTTTCCACTCTTCCTTCCTTCCTCCCTCTTTCCTCTCCTTCCTCTCTCCCTTTTTCTCCTTCCTCCTTCCTTCCTTCCTTTTGTCTTCTTCCTCCTTTTCCTCCCTCCCTTCCCTCCCTCTTTCTCCTTCTCCTCCCTTTCTCCTTTTTCTCTTTTCCTTCCCTCTCCCCTTCTCCTTCCTTTCCCTTCCACCCTTCCTTCCTTCCTTCCTTCCTTCCTTCCTTCCTTCCTTCCTTCCTTCCTTCCTTCCTGCCCTCTTTCCTCTCTCCTTCTGACTCTCCCTTTTTCTCCTTCCCTCCTTCCCTTTTGTCTGTCCTTCCTTCTCTTTCCTCCCTCCCTCTTTCTCCTTTCATCCTCCCTTTCCTCCCTTTCAGCCTTCCTTCCTTCTCTCTTTCCTTCCACCGACCCTTCCTTCCATCACTGGGCAGCCATTCCTCTCAGAAAGGAGTGCTAGCATTTGGCCTCCAAGTTAGAAAGTTTGCCCATGCCTGAACTAGAAGATCAAGTGATCCCACTCCTAGTAGAGCGATTCCCCCAATTTTGTTACAATTTTGAAAATATGTCTTTCTGGCTGTGCAGCATGACACATATAAAATCACATCCTAAAACATTGATTCAATATTCAAAAGCAATGTGGTTTTCAAGATTTTGTGATTCCAAATAATAAAATAGGAATGCAGCTAAATTCTGCAACAGCTGTCATTCATACGGTTTGCCACTCAAGTCTTAGAATGTGAAAAGCACCCAGGGTTATGGCAACATCCATGTTTACAGCTGAAAAGCAAAGCGAAACAAGACTGTGTGGATAGCAAGCAGCTGACCTAAAGTAGCTGTGCTTATGGCTTCCCACAAACTGAACAGTGTTGCTCAAGACAGTGATGCATTTTAAGAAATATGACTCATAGGGTGCATCTGCATTGTGGAAATAATGTTGTTTAACACCACTTTAACTACAATGGCTCAATGCTATGGAGTCATTTCTGCCAAAGAAAGCTGGTGCCTCATCAAACTGCAAATCCCAGGATTCGATAGCATTGATGAATGACAGTAAAAATGGCATCCAACTCCTTCATTCTATGGTGTAGTTGCACCTTTAAATCAAAATAGAATCATGAGCTCCAACCTGGCTGATGACAAAACTGCCAGCTCTGGGATGAGCTTATTTATTTATTTACTAGGCGTCCCCTGCCACACGTTGCTGTGGCCCAGTCTGTATATATGTGTTTTGTGTGTGTATATGTATGTTTGTGTGTGTGTGTGTATGGTTTTGCACATTCATTGTAATGTATTTTTTTGGGACTTTTTAAGTCCCTTCTGCTGTGTTTTTCAATGTTTTTATGAATGAAGGTCACTTGTTGGCCTGATAGGTGTATTGCATCCAAATTTGGTGTCAATTCGTCCAGTGGTTTTTGAGTTATGCTAATCCCACAAACGAACATTACATTTTTATTTATATAGATTTACAATATTTATAGCCTGCCCTTCTCAGCCATATGTCGACTCAAGGTGGGTTACAGATTGGCACAATTTGATGTCAGGCATTCATAAAAGTGCCATTAAAAACAATCAACATTACAATATAAAACATAAATAAAAACAGTTAAAGCATTGGTGTCATCTTGTTAAAAACATTATCCAGTAACATCGTCTGGCCATTCCATAGGAGTTGCCCTTCCTCCCCCCATTATTTATTTATTAAATATTTAAAATATTTATATTTCACCCTTCTTACCCTGAAGGGGACTCAGGGCAGAGCACAGCATATATATGGCAAACATTCAATGTGGGACATGAATTCATTATATGCATACATAAACATTAAAAACATTTGTCTCAATATTAAAATACACTGTTTTAAAACCGTCTTGATTAAGAGAAAGATGCCAAAATATAGAAGTATGCACACCCCAAAACCACTGCAAACAATGGTATGGGGTAATAAAAAGATATATCCACACACACACACTTTAAGGAGAGGAAAGCAAACATTACAGGACGGCTATTTCTGCTTAGCAATACAAGGACAAGCCTGGAGTAAAAAGCACTGTGAACAGTTAAGCTATGGTCACTATGCAGCAATCATCTCTGCTAGCATTCATCACTCTTTCTTCCTCTCTTAACAATTTGGAAAGAACGGAAGCAGACCGTACCCCACAGCGTATGCGATCCGGCTGCACTGCAACCAGCTTTCCTAGTCGTTTTTCATGCTGCCGACTCATTGTAATATTGCACGAGTCAGAGAGGTCTCGGTCATCTTCCATTTCTGCATCTGTAACCGAGTCACAACCGGAATCTAAGCAGAGGACAAAGAGGAATTTTATCTCCGAAAGCAGTTCAGCAACAAACTACCGGTAGGGAAGAACTTGAAAAGGAAGTTAAACTGTTAATAAGCTAGGACATAGAAGTCCTGTGCGTTCCGTACAAATAAGGAGACATATTACACTGCCCCCAACAATGAATCAAGTAGAATTCAAATAAGCTGCTGAATTTTTTAAAGGCCTGGTTGTTTCGGAGATTAATCTTAATTCAGACTCAAGTAGAAAAAGCATGCTTAGATTCACAATTTCTGATATGTCTATGTAAGCAAACAAGACAATTCTATTGCGTTTCTGCAACTTAGAGATGGAAGGTTACAATGAGGAAACCCTCCCTGCCTAGTTGCATAGGAAGTGGTCTCTGCCATGCAGTGTGAGCCCTACTCAGGGGTTATGGGGTTCCATCTCTTCAGCTTCATGTTGGGTATGTACTGAGCACACGAAGGGTAGGAAACAACAGAGAAAGGGAATTTTGTAATACAATAGTTTTTTTCTAGTTCCTTCTCTTGCTTCCTGCTCTGGTTAACTTCCGTGGATACAGAGGGCCAACTATATTTTTTGTACATGGTGGTTAGTGCTCTTTAGTTTCTGCCGAATTTGGGTCTCCAGATGTTATTGAATGACAACTCCCATCAGTTTTGATTATCCAGCATGTAGACAGGAGATAATGAGAACTGCAACCCAACGGCACTTGTGGCTCTGGGATTGGAGAAGGATTAAAGGGCATTTTAAAGCCAGACATAATATCCACAAGCCTTGTATCGAAATCCAAACCCTGCTATCCTGCCTAAACAGAACAAACTGCAGTCTCTTTAATATTACATCATATCTCCCATCTAATGATGAGGAATACAGGTGTTTTTGTCCAGCATCTGAAGAGCCACATAAAATGACATAGCAGGCTGAATTTGGCCCATGGGCCTTGAGTTTGACACATGTGCCTTATGGGATGCCAAGGAACGGGCCTCCCAGGTGAGAGCTATGATACAGCTGGGGGCATCAGATCAATCCATTGATGTTGACTTTGCAACAACAAAAAAAGCAACACATCCTCATGCAGCACTGGCAGGAATCTTGTCCTGTGGAGATATCACCTGTGTGGATGTGGCCCCTTTCACAATGCCATATAATCCAGATTATCAAAGCCAATAATCCACATTATCTGCTTTGAATTTAATTATATGAGTTTACACTGCCATATAATCCAATTCAAAGCAGATAATCTGGATTTTATATGGCAATGTAGGGCCCCTTCTAATCTGTCATGTAACCCATATTATCAAAGATTATCAAAGTAGATGATCCACATTATCTGCTTTGAACTAGATTATATGAGTTTACACTGCCATATAATCCAGTTCAAAGCAGAGAATCTGGATTTTATATGGCAGTGTAGGGCCCCTTCTAATTTGTCATACTGTATAATCCACATTATCAAAAATTATCAAAGTAGATAATCCAGATTATCAAAGTAGATAATCCAGATTATCAAAGTAGACAATCCACATCATCTGCTTTGAACTAGATTATCTGGATTTTATATGGCAGTGTAGAAGGGGCCTGTGTTTCTAGCGGTGGTTGTTTGTGTGTCCTACTAACTGAGGGAGTCTGCATTAACGACAGAAAGTGAGAGAAACTGTGTGTCATTTATATGAATGTGAAGTAAACAGGATAGCTGAATGAATACATGAAATTCAGAGGGATGTTTATATGCATGAAGGTGATGGGAAAGCACTATTTGAGGACTCTCAAACTGAAAAAATGCATGCTTCTGCACCTGAAACTTCACATGGTTCCAGGGAAATTGGTTCAAAAAGGCTTATTTGAACTTGTTCACATGTAAGCGTGCATAGGCATGTGTAGCAGTCTTGCAGTCATGCAACCAACACAACTTGAGCTGTTCAGCTAGGATCTGTTTTAACTTCAGCACCTTATTGCAGTCCCTCAAAGATACCAGAATAATTTTGTTCATTTTCAGACAACTAGCACCTATAGCAACATGAATTTTACAGTAGTATAAAAAATATTTTAACAAACTAGCTTACCTCCTTCAGAAATGGTCTTCGTGACAGCTGCTATGTAGGCATCAGAGTCATCATCGTAGGTAAGGTGCTTCCATTGGGGCCAGTCTTTGAAAAAGTCTTTGTAAGTCTCACATTCTGAAACACCACAGAACAGCTTCACCACTTTATGTGGTGGCTGAAGAACATTCTGCAGGCTCTGAAGGACAGCAGGAATATAGAAGTTCTGGACCAGTTCAGAGGATAGTAGAATAACAATACACTTGCTGTGTTTGAAGAGGTCAAGCTTCTCCGTGGAAATAACTGCTCCACACTCCATTGGATAGCTTTGGACTTCATAGCACGAGTGGAAGAGGCTCTGAAGGTACTGGCACCATTCATTGGCATCATTCCCATACACAATCAGCACATCACATGCATAAGGATGTTCTTCTGCAGAAAAACCAAATAGGTAGGTTAGTTCTACAAACAGAGTGAATCTCATCCCTGAACATGTATATTCAAGTGTACAGCCATCTTACACCATTAAAAATGGCTGCCAGGAACACTACACTGTTTTGAAGACCTTTTCATATCAACACATTGTCAATTTAAAGATTTTGTTTCAAAAACATATTAGAGAGTCATAAAAATGTCAACTGTCACAAGATTGGGAGCAGTTTAGGAGCCAGACCTTGGAATCCCATTGATAGAGTCCCACTAGAGAAAAAAAATGACTTTGTCCTCTATTTAAATCCTTCTTTGCTGTAGTTACATAAAATGCTGAGAAGATTATGCATTCCTTTAAAATTATCCATTTTAAGCTAGTAGACTCAAATCAAGGAAAAGTTTCATGAGAACCACCACTCCTCTTAATTTTCCTTCCGCAACAGCAAGAGTATCCCTCTGGGCAAAAAAATTATAATCATCATCATATTTAATTACTTATTAATCGCCCTCTATCTGAGAATGCTTTAGGCGATTTACAGCTAAATTGTAAAAGATAGAATACATACATACAGAAATTAAAAATCAGGCAATTCCTTCTGGATGTCCCCCCACAATGATGATGATGATGATGATGATGATGATGATGATGATGATAATGATAATCTTTTTTTATACCCTGCCACCCTTTGGGGGGATTCTGGGCGGCTTACATGATGTCAAGCCCAATAATGCAATTACAATAGAATGAATACAACACGGCAAAAACAACAATACAATAAAATAAGGCAATAAAATAAAAGATCATAAAAACAAAACAATGCAATGCAAAATACAGTAACAAACACACACAATAGGCGGGCCAAATTTACACATAAAATGATAAAACCCTGGAAAAGATAATAAAGAAAAAGATACAATTGTAAGGGAGGAACTCATAGAGGATGGAACAGTGGAGACAAGCCTTACCAAAAGTGAGGTGAAGGGTAATATGAGGACAACTTGAGGGAGAAGACAATAGGAAATAAATATGTGGTCACTTTCCAAAAGCACACCGGAAGAGCCAAGTTTTTAGATTCTTCTCAAAGGCTGCTAGGGTGGGGGTTTGCCTAATCTCACCGGGCAGTGAGTTCAACAGCCGGAGGGCCACAGCGGAGAAGGCTCTCTCCCTCGTTCCCACAAGTCGTACCTGTGATGGAGGAAGGGGTCTGTCTCTAGGGGCAAAGCAAGAATGGGAAACTTGGATGTCCATGAACAGACTCAGAAGCGGAGTGGGCAGATCAAAAGACAACCAGGCTAAATGGAACTGCCAGAAGAATCCTCCATTTTGTGCAACTGTGAACCAGAACAAACAACTCAGCACCTCCATGCTTGTCCACAATGCCCTGCCTCGTGCACAGAGGAAGAACTGTTTCAAGTTACAGACAAAGTGGTTGCCATTGCCTGGTTTTGGTCCAAAATTATTTAGCCACTTGTGTTCCCTCGATTTTATGAGTTTTATACTAATTTATTTATGCAATGCTTTTGACACAAAATAAATAAATTCAGATTAAACAATTGTATTTCCTTGTTATTGAAAATTAGACCCCAGAATTATAAATTATGAGACGCAGATCCATTGCGACATACGCCAAGTCCACATTGCCTTTTAAATTTGTCCTGTAATAACTTTTTAATAGATTTCCCTGGAATGCTGCCCCACCACATCGCGAACTTCAGGATTTAATCTCATAATTATCATAATCCCCTCACAATGGCCCGGGGAAGTCTCACGGAACACACAATAGGTTTCTCGGAAGAGCCACAGAAGTTTTCTAAATATTATCTGATTTTATCCAGGGAACGTTTCCTCATCTATAGTGTTGTACTGCGCCTGCTCTGTGTATTAACCAACACACTGAACTACTCTTTTTTCCAGGTGGCACTCATTGTTTAAGCCCAGCACTAGGTCATCAAGCTCTAGTAACTCTTAGCTAGATGCATTTCCTTCCAAGTGCACCTTATTCCTGGGACAACAAACAAACAGACACATATTCAAATATATCAATAGCAAATGACAAAGAGACCTATCAGCAATGACAGACAGCACATCCCAGCCAACCAGCCTGCAGATTCTAGCCTGTCATGATCTGGACCATGCAGCACTCAGGGCAATTGAAGACCTTGGTTTCTAACTGCTGTCAACGTCTTACAAATATTTCTATATGTTTCATTGAGTGATGTCAGTTCTTTTGAGTACAGATGCCACTGACATCTTGTTCGGCCAAAGAAAATAAATTCCTCTGGTTTTGCCTTCAACTTGTCTGTGTGTCATCTGGCCTCTGGAAGCTTGACACTACGGACCCCAGAAATACAGTTTTAGTGGATCAGAAATCGCATAACACCCTCACATTGCTGGAGAGGATGGAAAGAAAGGGAGCTTTCCATGCGTAGTTATAGTGACCCTAAAGTGGTAAATGTTTAGGAGGATTGTAAAGGTTTCCTCTTCGTTGTCTGATACTCTATTCCAGGGGTCTTCAAACTAAGGCCCGAGGACCACATACGGCCCTCCAAGGTCATTTACTCGGCCCTCGCTCATGGTCAACCTAAGTCTGAAATGACTTGAAAGCACACAACAACAACAACAACAATCCTATCTCATCAGCCAAAAGCAGGCCCACACTTTCCATTGAAATACTAATAAGTTTATATTTGCTAAAACAGTTCTTCATTTTAATTATTGTATTGTTTTTAAGTATGGTTTTTTGCACTACAAATAAGATATGTGCAGTGTGCATAGGAATTCATTCATTTTTTTTCAAACTATAATCCGGCCCTCCAACAGTTTGAGGGACTGTGACCTGGCACTCTGTTTAAAAAGTTTGAGGACGCCTGATTTAGGCTATGTACTTTGCCCTTGAAGTCTATACTTCAGAAATACACATTTTGATGTTATGCACTGATAGGCATTTATCTTAGTTGTTATGACTTGTCTTTGTTTATGTTCTCTGCATATTTTAAAACAAGTAAATAAAGATTTGAGGGAAGAAAAGTATTTCATTGCCACCTTTAGTTAATAATATAACTGGATTATCTTGTCAGGCGATTGCTGAAGTAAATATTTGTTCAACTGTGCAGAGATAAACTGCGGAAACAGGAACTTGTTTTATTTCCCTATTTTTGTTCAGTTGAGTCGTTCCTTTATTAATCTTTATGCTGTGTTAACATCAAATGCTCTTGCACTACAATAACATTTTCAAGATTTCTGGGAAAGCAACACAAACACATAAAACCGGGGCTACTTCTTCCTGCTAATTATGGTATCCACCAAGATATGACATTGAAGATTTGTTAAACTCATGATGCAAGCACAAACATCTATTGCTTATTATAAATGAAGTTTCAAAATAAGTTGGGTCCAAGAACCCCATCACTCTCTATTTAGCAAAATGAAACATCTTGTTGTGCTCATTAGCATAGCAATTATTGACCTACACTTTATCAAGACCTCCCAGCTTGTCTTCTGCAGGAAACCACACTTTTGAAGGGATCTTCATGTACGCTAGAAAAAGAGTTGAAAACTCTTCTATATTGCAAGCCGCATTGAAGACCAGGAAAAAATGTTCAGCAGTTCTGTACAAAGGCAGCCAAACTTAATACTAATTTGCTTGGTGGCCATATCTAGCCTACTCTCTAAGCCTAGAAGAGATGCAGAAGTCTCCATTCTTCTCTGAAACCACATCAGTAAGGTGTGGCAGGAGCAGAACTGATTTTTGTAAAGATTACGGACTTGACAAAGCTCCCTCTATTGTGGATGCTAACAGAACCACATGTTAGTAGTAGAGTTTTACAAGAAGTGGCCACGGGGCTCTTCCTCCATAACAGTTTGATGGTAAATTCAGTTTGTTTAATAGCAGTAGAAAGTACCTGCAGTTCTTAGGGGGAAGTGTATGTCTCCAACATTAGGAGTGGCTATTTCTGTTCTATAGGAAGTAGTCTCCATAACACAATCCAACAAAAAAATCTTTGTGTCTTGGTTTTAAGGCATATTCCTGCGGCTATTTGGGGCACTGATTTAGAAAATTGTATTGGATAGGCCATCATTTATTTATTTATTTATTTATTTCCAATATTTCTATCCCGCCCTTCTCAACTCCCAAGGGGGGACTCAGGGCAGCTTACAAACTGGCCACAAATCGAAGCCTCAATATTATTTATTTATTCATTTACAGTATTTATATTCTGTCCTTCTAACCCCACAGGGGACTCAGGGCGGATTACAATGTACATATACATGGCAAACATTCAATGCCATAGACACGCAACATATATAGACAGTCAGAGGCAATTTAACATTCCAGTTTTTTCATGAGGGTATTCTGTCCACCAGGGGAGCTGTCGCTTCACCGTCCATTTGTGACACTGATGAAGTACTTCCTCATTCTTTGCATGCTTGCTGGAGATTTTTATGGCAACGTAAATTAGCCTCCCCACATAAGCGGTACCTAAATTTCCTACTTGACAGATGCAACTGTCTTTCGGGCTACAAAGGTCGACAGCAAGCTACACAAATTGGTCAGAACCTCACTCTGACCTTGATTAGCTCTGAACTCATGACCTTTTGGTCAGCAGTGATCTTAATGCAGCTGACTCCCACCCAGCTGCYCCACAGTCCCGGTGTAATAATAGAAATATAAACACAAATAGCAACAGTTGAAATCAGTAAATAAAACATTACGTTAAAAACACGTTGAAAACATTGTCATCAACCATATAGCCAATTTCAGTCCAGTTCAACATCCAAGGTGCTGTCATGCTTGCTGTCCAAAGGCCTGGTCCCAGAGCCATGCCAGCTCTAGTCCTCCGATATGGTTATCATGATTTTTTATGGGTGAGCAGATGGTGACCGGTTCATGGTTCTGTATCTCAAAAACTAGAACTAATAGGGAAAAACTTGGTGCCATTTTTGGAATCAGCAGGTCAAWTATACCCAGAAACAAGGCTAATTTGATGCACAAAAATGTGTT